TTTTTTTTTGTAGCCCAGGCTAGCTGTGAACTTGTGGTGATTCTCCTGCTTCAGCTTTCTGAGTGCAGAGATTACAGGTGTGTGCCACCGCGCTCAGCTTCCTATTTCTATTGTAAAGGAGTAACACATATAAAAAGATTGAAATGACATATAGAAATGTTGATGACATCACTGATAATTTTATTTTCTTCTTTTTGCATTACTGTCTTACCTGGACCATTGTTTCATTAATTTTCTACCTTTCTTTTCTAGTATAATAAATATTTTTTTTAAAACACAATTTTCACTGTATCTTTCAATTATTAGTAAGATAGTTTCATTACTGTTTGGTTCTAAGAATTTTTTAATTCTAGTATGATTCTTCTTTGCATTATGAATCATTTAGAAATATTTTGAAAACTTCCAAACACATGGAAATTTTGTTGTTTTTACATTTTTATTATTGACATCTCATTTAATTGCACTCTGACTAGAGAACATAATCTATACTACATTCATCCTAAAATTTATTTTATCTAACATTAACACAGGTATCCTGACTTCCTTCACTTCAGCCAGATTTCTTTTACACAGTCTGATAATCTTGGTTTTTTAAACGACACTTTAGTAAACTTATATTTATTATAATTACTTATCTGTTAGACTTTTACTAACCATACTGCATTATGTTTCGTATATGTCATTTACTGCATTATGTTTCCTTTATGTCATTTCCTACTAGGCATCTCTTGCTTTTCCTTAACTTTGTTTTGCTTGTCTTACTGGTCTCATAAATAACTTCTGCTGTCATGTGTACTCTCGGAGGCCCAGGTGGGGAAGGGTGAGGGTCTCCTCAGTCCTACTCTCCCTACTATAGACAAGAAAAAACAATTCCCCTAAACAAGGGGCTCTGAATTGAATGTATATATCAGAACCACCAAGGAAGCATTTTCAAAGCAACTTAAGTCTGGGTCCTACTCCAAATTTACTAATCGAAAATCTCAAGCCGGGCATGGTGGCACACACCTGTAATCCTAGCACTCCGGAGGCTTTGGCAGGAGGATTGCTGTGAGTTCGTGGCCACCCTGAGCTACAATAGTGAGTTCAGGGCCAGCCTGAACTACAAAGGGAGATCCTGCCTCAAAAAAATCAAAAGAAAAAAGAAAAGAAAATCTCTACATAATGGTTCAGGTATGCACATTTTGGGCGGGGGGGGGGGTACTGGGGATCAAACTCGGGTCCTCGCACTTGGGCAGCAGGTGGCGAAACCACTGAGCTAAATCCCCGGCCCAAGGTATGCACATTTTATCAGAACACCATAGAAAACTGTGATTCACTACCCTGGTTTAAAAACACTGCTGTATTCATTTTTATTTTCCCCAAGAAATGTGAACTGAATATGGTGCAAGTTTAAAGCATCAGACCATGTTCATTAGGCATTTTGCATTTTCCAGCTGGCAGACAACAAAAGAAACATAAAAGAACTACGATAAGAGGCCTTGAAACATACACTACAGTTTAAACGTAATACACTAAGTAGGAAATAAATAAGATCAGAAATAAACACCAGCATGGAAAGCCACGAGATCATCAAAACAATGACTAATCTGACTTCTCAGGGCTATCTATTACTATTAAAGGAAATAAAAATAAGAGACCATTCATGGAATATATGTGCAAGTTTCCAAAGTGCGTGGAAATATACAGGATACCTGAATTATTCTGTACTGTGTACATATTTCTCCTATTTGGCATCATCTTAAATTCATTCCCTTCTTTCCGGGCCCGCCGTTGACCCACCTCTGATGAGTCCCTGGAGAAAAGAAATTGTAAAAGAGTGAGACTTCTAAACAAGGATCCCTTTCAACTCTCTTTAAAGACAGCCTGTCTAACATAACACACTGGCCTGGGAGAAAATGGCAATACCTACGAGAATGAGTTACTCTGAGCTTCAGCCAGCCGCAGCCTCTTAGCATGATTCTTCCCTTGATAGTGAGCCTGAGCCACTGCAGGGGAACTGAAGGAGGCGTCGCAGAGCTTACAGTAGTCATTCTCTGTGGCCAGGATCACTCTGCCTCCTGGCTTAAAGGAGCCCATCTGACATCAAAGACACAAGAAGAACCAAGGTTTAAAGATACGGAGCTTATCCCTTCCTTCTTCTCAAAGGCTCTTCTAAAGCTGAAAACAGCCAAAGGATATAGCCAGACCACAAGCACTCAGCTTTATAAAGAAAGGAAATAAATAAACACGGAAGAAAAAAAGGCTTGAAGACACTTAATCCTGTCTTTGCATTATAATCACCTATGTCAATGTGCCAAACTGTGAATAGCTTATTACTATCTCCACTGAAGAAAACTTTAAGATGAGTTTAAAAACTCCAGCATAGAAGATTTAGAGAAATAAATAGGCAAGGCCTAAAATCTCAATTTCAGAATGAGTAAAGTCTGCTCAGAAACCATCAATAAGCATTTAGTAAGTGCCAACTATTTACTGGGCTTGCTGTCTAGGCCAGAGGAATATAGTCAGATACTCTTTTAAACCCCCTGCCCTAATAAAGGCTACAAACTAGGTGCAGATGTAATGTAATCAGGAAAAAAATAACTAGCAAAACCAGATAACTGTTAAAGGTTGGGGAACAACATGTTAAAGGAAAGCTAACAGTGCCTGGAAGACAGACAGTAGGCATTCAATTTCGGGGGGTTATCAAAAAGTTACAAAGTAGTTTTTGGCTAGGGGAGAATAATATATGTGATAAACACCCTGGAAATCAAATCATTTCAGGAACAGTTGAAGAAAATAGAATTGTTAGACCTGGAAGAGAAGATTGTCTGGACATAGGATAGCTGCCTTCGCAAATCACAAGGGCCCTGCTGTTTAAGGTAGCGCAGGCTGTTTTCCCAGAAGGGTGGAGCCAGGCACAAACCATGTCTAACAGGGACCAGCAGTCCAATTTTAGAGCTACCTTTAGAAAACAGCAATGTGAAAACTACTCAGCTCAAGACCTCCAGGTGTTTTGTTGTCCTCTGATTCCATTTTTTTTTTTTTAGCTCTTTTATTGCTACATTTTAGGTATACAATTCGTTTACATTTATCATTGGGTGTTTGTATTTGTACATGATATATCTTGGTTCTTATTTTTTCCCCATTACCTGTGTGCCCTTCACCCCCTCCATCCTTCCCTATTTCTCTGATTCCATTTTAATATATCTCATTTTCCCCACGAATCTATGAAGACGGAAGAACAGCTGGAACTGCTAGTCACATATTAAGCACTAAAACACCAACCTCCAGAAAAGAAAAATTATGCCACAGTGGTTAGGAAGATCCTAGGAAATTCTTGCTCCACCACTTTACAAAATATGTAATGCTGAAGAAAGTTACTTAGCTTTCCTGAGCTTCTAACAGAACTCCAAAGAGGCTCATGCTACTGACTCATGGACTATGCTTTGAATAATAAGCCTGATACCTTTAAACTGTTGCAAGCATTAAATGAAGTCAGGGCCCAAGTCTGGATTGAGATACTTATTTCACACACAGAATTTAAGGGAACACCAAAAACTTTAAGTAATCCAAATAAATATTTTAATGGAGTATTTTAAAGAGTGAAACCTAATGCAAAAAATAAATGAAGGATGAGCACCATTCCCCTGCCAAGTCATCCTGCAGCCTAAAGCAATAGGGAAATCAGTAATATTTATCCTATCTTTAAGTTTTTGATGATTTGTTCACTTTTTTAATTAATTTTGAATTTTTAAAATATTTCATTAATGGATTTATCTTTTTTTTCTGGTACCAGGAATCAAACTCAGGACCTTGTGCTTGCCAGGCAGGTAAGGTGCCACTAAGCTAAATCCCCGGCCCTGGACTTGACTTCTACGAGTTTGTTTTTTTTTTCTCCACTACTCCTTAAACTCTGTGCCCCAATCAAAGCATCCTTCACCTCACCCTAGTCCCAGTCAAACAATGCATAAAAAAAAACACCTGGCAAATATACTCAATAATTATTCTTTATGATCACTATGTTGTTCTGTAGGCAGATAACATTTCAAAGATAGGTTAAGGAGTACAGTCCATATTTCAGAGGCTACCAAACTATAGGAATATCTTGCCTGAACCACTTGCTCTATCTTCCAAAGAGCAAAAGGAACTGGCCTCTCAAGTGTGTCTCATAATTCCAAATTCTGCACGGCATTTATACTAGCTCTCTACAGAGGTAAGTGAAGGGCCCTTGCAAGAAACATCTTTTAAATGGAAGATACAATATAAGTAGAACTAATGGCAATAAAAAATTTTAAATCTCTCTTTTCATTCAGGGATATTTATCCCAGAATTTTGAGAAATGTATAGAGAAAGACTCATGTTACAATATATGTTACATAAATATCAAAGTTCAAAGATTTTGACATGCAATAAATCCAGCACATAGTTCAAGAAGGTAGGAGTACCAAGCAGGACCTCTCAGAAGTATTTGTACAGCTATATCCTGATGGACATACGAATGACAAATTTCACTCATGACTGCATACGACAGCTTCCTAACACTGCTTCACCCTGACGTGTCTCACCTGTGCAGGGACTGAAACGACAGGAGCAGCTGCAGGCTCCACGGCATTGCTCATTCTGGCAGGAGGAGGACAGCTATTTGCTGCATAGTAGTTTCGGAGTTTCTTACCATGATTTTTACCCTAGATGTAAAAATACAATGAATAATCACCATGAGGAAATTCTGTCAGATTGAGTTCATCAATATATTCATGTTAAAAAGAAAAAGAAAAAAAAGTCCACAAGCAGTACTAACTACATGTTATTCCTCTATATATACTACACTGGGGTAAACAGACCACTAGCTAGATGTGATTACTAGATCTTGAAGAATAAAATTCTGTTATTTAATGGCTGTAATGGAATGATTAAATTTATCTGTGAAGGATAAGAGAACAAAGCCAAACAAAATTAATTTCCTATATAGTTCTGAAAAAGCATCCCATTTTCCAGTGGTCTGTCTTCCCCCAGTTTGTGGCCATTCATATGCCACTGCTTAAATATGAATTTCATGACACTCTGATCTAATCACCTTTGGAACTGAGTAATGAAATGAATAATCCAATTATTTTTAATAACCCTTACAAAGCATCTTTTTACATTATAAAACACTTGCTGCTCATTTGCTGCTCACAAAAATACTGTCTGAGAAATTTGTTGATGTAGCCCATAGATGACAGCAGAAAAACTGCAGTGGGATGGGGGTGTGGGGGTTGTCCATGACCTTTTCAGAAGGATAAAGTAGCAGAGCACCTGCGTGAAGCAGGCCTTCTGACTCTAAGGCGTGGCCCTTTTTACTCCCGCCCTATAGCTTCAGGATCCACTATGAACCTCTAAGAAAATGGGCTTACCTTTTTCATCATGTTTTGTTTATTGCTCACAGGATTATATCCCTTAAATTAATACAAACTAGTATTAATTAGCATCAGTGGTCCAAAAGCATTCTAAATAAGGGTAAAACAGAATGTTGGTAAAACTACATTGTAAATTCAAACCCGCAGGCAAGCATCTATTTACCATCTACTTTATGCTAAAATCAAGAAATAAACTGAAGACTTGTACACAATCTAGAGGAGGCTGAAACGAAAATAATGAAAGTAAGGAGGTGAGTTCTCTCTTGTGCTTACTCAGAATGCCCTAACTGCTCTCACCATGGCCACAGTGAGTCTAGAGAATCAAACTTTCTTGGACCCATCTTTCCCTAACCCAGCACATCCAATCTATCAACAAGTCTATCATCCCACCTTCAAAATATATGCCAAGTCACTCCACTTCTCTCCATGGACACTAAATATACCACAGTAACCCAAGCTACCAATGCTTTTCACTTGCAGTAGGCGACAATTCCTAACTAGTCTCTGCCCCCTGCACTTTTCCCCATTATAAACCAGAATGGGGCCAGGGATTTGCCTCAGTGGTCCCGCCGCCTGCCTTGCAAGCGTAAGGTCCCAAGTTCGATCCCTGGTACCAAAAAAAAAAGGACCAAGGTCCTCGAGTGCTGGTGATTTGCCATCATTGTATCCCCAATTTTATACAGTGTCCATCACTGAATAAGCATTCAGGGAGTGAAATACACTCGTGTCGGGGGTTTAGCTCAGTGGTTGCGCCACCTGCCTCGCAAATGCAAGGACCTGAGTTCGATCCCCAGTACCAAAAAAATAAAAAAATTAAAAATAAATAAACCAGAATGATAGAAACAAATAAGATCATCTCATTCCCTCACTTAAAATCTTCCAGTGGCCTCTCACTACTACACTTAAAATGGACAAACCTTACCTTTGAGGCCCTGCATACTCTGGTCCTGTCTACCTCTCTGGTGTTACATCATACAGGGTCCCTCTCCCCTCCTCATTTGCTCCTGCCTCAATACCGTTGTCTGAGCCTTAAGCATCCCAAGCTCATTCTGGCTCCTCTTTGAACTGTACTTGCTGCTCCTTCTGCCTAGAAGGTAGCTCTTTCAGATCTCTGCAAGGCTGATTAATATCTTTAAAGTCTGAACTTGAACAGCGTATCTCACTCATCTCAAATGTCATAACCATCCCTCCCATACACACCCACACACACTTTCTCCATCTGATTTTATTCAATCGTACTGCTACTTATCACTACCTAAAATAATATGATTTGTTTACTTATTTTTTTCTCTTTCCTCCTCTCTAAAATATACTCATTAAAAATAAGAACTATGGGGCCGGGGATTTAGCTCAGTGGTTCTACCAACTGCCTTGCAAGCGGAAGGACCCAAGTTCAATCCCCAGTACCAAAAAAATTACAACTGTGTCTGTCTTGTTTACTCTTCTTTCTGCAGTGCCCAGACTATTAACAGATAGCAAGCAATAATAAGCATCAGTTGAATAAAAGATTCAAATATTGTAGTAGAGATAATTTTAAAAAACACTTAGACAATAGAGAAAAGGAATTTCTTATTTCTGCCTCAATGTGTCAGAAGACTTCCAGTTAAAGGGGACAGTGAACCACCTTTTAAATGAGCAGAAGTTCTCCAGGGAGTTAGGCGTGAAGGAAGAAGAAAACTGAACTAAGAACTCGCATGGGCAAAGGCCCAGCCTCAAGGAGAGATGGTCTTCAGGATTTTAAGGAAACTAGGAGCTCAGATGTGGTTTTGTCGATGAACCAGAACTTGAACTTTCAAGGCAGCAGGAGCCTGAGACTCTGTAAGCCTTGCAGGGAAATGATTGCACTGTATTTGACAAAGAGCATCACCCATGGGGTACATATTAGAGTAGATCAAAGTTAGAAGCTGGGAAGACAAAGAAAAAAAAAGCCAAGGACTTTCTGTAACACATCTTACTGTGTAGGACACTATAACTAGAAGGACATTATAACAGTGTTGTGGAAAACAAAGGTCCAAAACATGACAGTGACAGTGCTAGGTCTATCAAATAAGATGAAAACCAGATGATGTGTTACCGTGGAAGCCTGGATCCAAAATGGAGCTTAGGAGGGAGATCAGGCAAGAAATGAGTTATTAGCATGCAGAAGGTATTTAAGGCCATGGAACCAAAAGGACAGAGTGGAGAAAGACAAGAGCTTCTGAAATAGCCCTGGACAAAGTGAGGGTTCACAGTGAGATAATGGCTGGAGTAAGGAGAAAGACATGAGAACTGTGAAGAAGGTAAAAAAAAAAAAGTAATGACAAAGTGGAATGAAGGATAGTAGGAGGCAAATCCATGAGTAAATGGGAATGCCAGTTACCAAAACAAGGTTTTAAAGAGAAGAATGCTACGGTTTGGACAAGGTCTCTCCCCATCAAAACTCATGTTGAGATTTAATTGTCAACGTAACAATACAGAGAAATGGTGGGGATTTTGTGAAGTGGTTGAAGTCATGAGGCCTCTTTCCTCATGCAGAGATTCATTCGATTCCCTTCAGAGTGGGTTAGTCATCTTCACAGCGAGTTGTAAAGCAAACCTGGCACCAACCCCCAGGCTCTCCTAAGTGTGCTCGTTCACATGTACTGGCTCCCCCTTTCCACTTCCTATCAGGCTATGACACAGCACAAGACACTTACCAGAAGTTGTACATTTGCTAGAATCACAGAACTGTGACTATATGACTATAACATATGCTAGAATTCCTCCCTCCAGAACTATGAGTCATATTAACCTCTTTTCTTTGTAAATTACCCAGCCTCAAATATTTTGTGATAGCAAAAGAAAATGGACGAAGACAATATAGCATTGGAAAGAAGATAATTTGGGTCAATATGTTGAGACTAAGGCCAATCAAAGGACATCTGGATGAATCCAAGAGATAGTGTAGCACATAGATTAATTAGCACTAACAAAAATCAAGGCTATAGGAGTTTGAAGAATCTTCTTAAAACTAGGTAGGAACCTGAATCTACAGATTTAGAGGAAGATAATAAATTTAAATAATTACTGTCTTCTTCCTATGTGCTGGTCACTATTCTAAGAAAGGGAGACAAAATGGTGAACAAAGGCAAAGTCACTCCCTTCAAGAAATTCTTCCAGAGGATAAAAACAGAATACACATACATGAACAACAACAAAGAAAAGATAATGTGACTGACAGCCGCTCTGCAGAAAATAAAACAGGATGATATAATAGAAAAATGGGCAGGGGAGGCAGTGTCGGAAAGATACAGCTTTTCTGCGGAGTGACACACAAGCTAAAAGCTGAAGAATGAGACGCCTTCAGTTGTGCCATGTGGAGAAAAAGGGGAAGAGCTGGATGACAAGACATCCATTTGACCACGTTAGGTCTGAGATCTCTTTCTGATGTCCAGAGAGAGCACAACTTGTAGTTCAGGAGTGAGGTCTGGCTAGGGATCCAATCTGTTAACACTGATTCTATCTAGGGATAGAATCTGTTAACATTGTGTAGATGATACTTAAAACCATAGAACAAAATAAATTACCTGCTCAACATGGAGATGAAGACCAAAGGACCACATCCTGGGATATAATATAGAGTGTGGTACAGGAGAAGAATACAAAAAAATGAAATTGAGACTGTGTGGCCTATGAAGAATGATGAAAATCAGGTAAGAGAGGTGTCATGGAAGCCTAAAACAAGATGTTTCAAAAGAAATGAATCAAGTTAGATATATAACCCAAGAACCCCACTTATAGATATTGCCAAACAGAAACTCACACGAGTAGACACATACAAAAATGCTTCTAAAAGGATTGTAACAGCAGAAAAGTGGAAACAACTTCAGCGTCCTTGTACAGCACAATGGCTAAATTGTAATCTATTTGTGCAAAGGAACACTACATAGTAGTGAAAAGAAGCATTCAAGGACCATATAGGGCAGCAAGAATGATTCTCAACAAAATGCTGAATAACAAGTTACAGAAGAAGATATGTAAAAATAATTTTAATACGTGGTTTAAAACGCAAAAAAACAATACTACATACTATAGAGTCAAAACTTTTTGTAGCAGGGGCCAGGGATTTAGCTCAGTGGTTCCACTGGCTGCCTCAAAAGCACAAGGACCTGAGTTTGATCCCTGGTACCCCCCCCAAAAAAAAATAACTTTTTGTAGCAAAGGTGAAAAAAATATATAGGGACGATAATGCCAGTTGAGTATAATGGCTACATGTAGGCACACAGGAGGGGATACAATTGGGAAGAGATGTACAGGGACTTCAATTAACAACGTTTACACTTTAAGCTAGATGGCAAACACAAGCGTTATATTATTTGTGCCTTTTTTTGTCTGGGAGATTTCAAAACAATTTAAAACAATAATAATCATAACAACAATAATCCTAATATCATAACCAGGGTTAGGTCAGGACAAAGTGATGCCGGATTTGAAAAGACAGAGGTCAAAGCAGCAGAACAGTAAGAGATAAAAGGTCAAGTGGAATGGCTTAAAAAAGGAACGGAAGCTATGAAAACTGAAACAACACTACAGGCTGATATATGAAAGAGTTCCATGAAAGAGTGGAGACATAAGGTACAGCATGACTGAGAGAAATGGGGTAACTGGAAGATTTTCTGGAGATGGGCTTTACTGAGGTGTCTGCATGATAACAGGAGGAAGTCACCAAGAGTAGAACAGATGGTGCAAAGTGAAGGGAATGGTAACAGCAGCACAGTCCACAGAACGGCAGATGAGGTCTACAGTTCTACCAGAGAGGTCAGGTGCAGACAGTAAGTATTTTATTTCCAAAGCAGCATCCCCACTGGTACTAACGCAGATACTGAATCCATAACAGAATAATGATAATGTCAACAAATGATTTTTGAGCACTTATCACATGCCAGGCAATATTCTCAGCACTTCATTAAATATTATCTCATTTAATAATCAGGAACCATTGGGGAGGTACAATTATTATCCCCATTTTGTGTATAACTGGAATCTCTGAAAAAGAAAAACAAAACAATCAAACAGAACTG